AATACAGGAAAATATCCAAAGAGCTTGTTTTAACCTATTTCATAACAACAAAACTATCTGCAAATACGAGATAGCGTCCTTAGCAACCGCCCATAGCAACGTGTTTGTCTGAACCACGCATCTGGAAAATTAAGTAGATACTGGATAAGTCGACTGGAGTTTGGTCAAAACTACACTGAATTTGATTTCGAAATGGCTTTTTGTGAATCAAATGTAAAGTGACTTATTATTTCCTTTCAAATTTTCATACTATTAGAAAACATGCTTGTTTGCTCAATATTTGTAAAGAAACAACTGCAAGGACGAAATATCACGACAAATTCTGGTACCTTGTTGGTAGGAAACTTCGTCCAACCTTATGTTTTAGGGCCTTGACAGCAATGTAGTATGATCATTTTTGAACAAATTGGTATAGGTTTCATTGCACATCCACAAAGTTCAATTTTTTTACCCATGTCTTGCTAGACCTGGCGATCGGCCCAGTGTGCACTGGGGCGCGGGTTAATAATGGTTTTCCTGCTCCTCTAATCAATTTTGAAGTGAGGAACTTCCTAAACAAACAATACGATCGGGTACCAACATCTTTTGATGTGCCCAAGCTCTGCGAATACGTGACTTTCCAGTACCTAGGAAAACAGTCCCAAGCTTTAAAACATGCTATTACCGATATACTGACTACTTTCTACCCCTATGCCCAATTTCGTATCGTCCTGAGGAACCAACTTACGATTGGCTCTTTTTTCAAACACAAAGATAGAGTTCCAAAAATGTGCTGCTCTGGCGTGATATACAAATTCTGTTGCCCCTCGTGCAGGGGGTCGTATGTACATTGGTTTTACCAGTGCACGCCGTAACACCAGAGTTAGCCAACATTTAGGAATCCCTGAGAGAACGGGTAAGATGCTAACATCTCCTCCCAATCACAATTTGAGGAGGAATTTCACATTTATATACATCAAACGATGGCTCCGGGTCTGCAGAACACACATAACCACATGAAAATGGCGAACTCTCACTTGGTTATGATGTATTTGCACCGCAAAGATTTTAAGACGAAAATATAATTTCACATAATTGATGTCACACACAAATAGACTTTTAAAAAAGTACCGCAAAGTACCGCTTCGAAAATCTCGCTACATGTCAATGAGTCATTGCACTACAAGATCCAACAGTCATTTCTTGCGATTTTTGACGACTTTGGATGTGCCAGCCAAACATCAACACGCGCCGGACCGATGCTCGGCGTCAAACGCGCCGGGCCGGGAGGTGTTGATTGAACCCCTTCTAACTCGGCTCTTGGGCCATATAGCGACACGTAGTAAGTGGCATTCGAAAGAGCGCCCAAAGTTCCAGATAGAGTAATTAGTCATTTCTAGGTCAGGTCAAAGGTCACGTCACCAGAGGTCATCAAAGGTAAAATGTTGCATACATCAACATTTCTCGAAACACCGGCCCTTACCTCCGGGACCAATAGAGCTACATCGTCGCAGAAAAGTGCATTCAATTGCTCTTTTAGCGGTCTTTCTGAAATAAGCCTTCAGATTTGTCTTAACCCTCGCCCCTAGCCCGGCAGGCGGTGGGCCTATCAGCCACCTTCCGCGCGGGGGGGGGGCATTTTTTTGCCCCCCCGTATCTCCGAAACTACTGGACGGATCCGGAAAATTCAAACGGCGTTCGATAGCCCTGCCAAATTTGTCGAGGGAAACCAAATTTTATTGACTTCGGGGTCACCGATGACGTCACAGGTCAGGTCAAAGATAAAATGTTTCACCGTTCACGGGGCTTCTAGGGAAAGCGCTATAACACCGAGTAAAACGCATTTTGTCGAAAATCAGCGATAAGGCGTCAGTTGTCTAGTATATATGTTGCTATTAGAGGTCACTGGTCATACCAGGTCAGGTCACAGGTCTGAGGTCAGGTCACCAAAGGTCACCAAGGGTCACCACATGAGCCCAACTTTACTAAGGTTATGCGATGCATGTTTTATGGCCAGTTTTTCATTTCCAACTCAATGGTGTTGTTTATAAGACCATCAGGTACGGTTTAGGTCACTTTCTGGTGGAGGTCAGGTCAAGGTCAGGTCAAAAAAGGTCAAATTTCAAAGTTGATATTTTTGCATAAAATGGGTATCGATTCGATGCAGCTCGTCACGGGGAGTCTAATGGTGGTCTTTGTTTTGCGCTACGAGGTCTAGAATTGCTAAAAATTGAGTTTGAAAATTTGAAGTCATCAATTTTGAACACTTTTTTCGCTATAACTTGGCCAAAAAAAAGAGGTATCGATCTCAAATTTGGTATGTAGATAGAAGGCGGTAGGGACTATCACATATATTCCGGTTTTGTCGAAATTCAAAAAACTTTTTGGATTTTTTGGCTATTATATTCAAAAAATCTATTTTTTGATTTTGGGGGTCAAAATCCAAAAAATTCGAAAAAAACTAAATAGCAGTTTTGTAGCTCTTCTGATTCCACACCTTTTATGTCTGAAACATTTTTCTGTATCTCTAAAGCTGTAGGCCTGACAGCTCTTCCCGCGAAACCTTTTTTTTTGGTCGAAAATGGCAAAAATGACGTCACTCTGACGTCATTAGCGGGCAACCTATCATAGCCTTTGGAAAAATTTTTGGTCACCATGTACGCTAGCTGCTCCCGGGAGGGTACCGAAAGTTTGGTGACGATCGGCGCAGCGGTTCTCGAGATATATTGAAAAAACTAAAGGGGGGGAAATGCCCCCCCCCCCCACCGCCTGGAAGGCTAGTGGTGTTTTTCCAGCCAAAAACGTATAGAAGGGGTCCGTTGGACCCCTGCCGTTTCGCCCCTGTTCGAGCTAGAGCTTCGCGGAGAAGACGAGCGTGTTGCCTGTGACAAGAGGAAGCTGAACATACCCAATTGTAAGGTCCTAAGTCATTGGTTGATCTTCCAGGTCAGGTCAATGACCCAAAAGTCGGGAAAATCGGGAACTGTTAGAACGTCGTGAAGGGTGGCTGCTATGGATTTTTTGGGTGCTGATCACGAATATAATGTTATTTATGGTCATAGATGATGTCTTCATACATTTACGCCAGGTCGGGTCAGGTCAGGTCAGGTCAACCAGTAAGCGTTTTGCCGGGTATTTATAGTAGGTGGCAACCGCCTCTGACAGCTTCGTAACATGTTACGAAGGCACCAAAGCTACATAGTAACTGTTCAAATGTTTTCTAGATTCAAATTCAGCTCCAAAAACTAGCCTGGAAACATGTAAAACTCGAAAAAGCGAAGTAGGTCATCAAAGGTCCATGACGTTACCTGACCTTCCGGTGACCTTGACACCCACCCCAATGCATGGGAGCAACATAATATCCCATGTTTGAACCCTTTAACCCGCGCCCGGCTGGGGGTCCTGGATTTCCACGCTCTGCTGGGGGGTGTTTGAACACCCCCCTTCTAACTCGGCTCCTGGGCCACGTAGCGATACGCGGAAGGCGGCGTTCGAAAGAGCGTCAAAAATAATGAGGAAATTACTTAGGTCAATTTTTTTGGTCAGGTCAAAGGTCAGGTCACCAGAGATCATTGAAGGCAAAATTTCGCCGATTTCCAGGTCGAATGTCGACAGTTTCCAAGAAGCCAACGCGTAACTCGGGAACCAATAGAGCTACAGCGCCGCGGAAAAGCGCATTCGATATCCCTATCAACGCCCTTTCTGAGTAATTTTCTCAGATTTGACCTAACGTCAACGGTTTTGCCTGCAGGGGGCAACAACTGCAAAAATAGCCGATTTTTTTCGGAAACAGTTTTTCTGCAACAACTTTTGACCCAAGCCTTGTACGAGCTTACTTTTACCGGCATCGTGTTCCTCTCATCAAGACGCATCGAATGAACTATAATTTGACCTTGAAAGGTCAACTTGAAAATTTGACCTCAGGTCAAGGTCATGACCTGACCGGAAAGGGTCATGTTGCATATCAGTCGATCCGTGTCGTCGATCTGAACACATCTAAGGCGTTTTCATCGCTCTAGCATGCCTCTATCAAAAGTTATTTGCGAAAAACTGTTAGATACCATTCGTGACCTAAGATGACCTCAGGGCATAAACAGGGGTCACGGACACCATTTTCATATTCAGTGTGTCTAAACCACTTGTAATTCAGTGTTTGGGAGTGTTTATAATGTCTTTCGTCCAAAAGAGGCGCATTTCAATTTTCTCCCATTGACTTATAATTGGGAGGTCGCAAAATTGACCTGACCTTAGGTCATCGATATCAAAATTCTGAGATATACATGTTGTACATGCTATTGCTCTTAGCAATCGCTGAAAGTTTCAAAGCGATCAGTCACTCGGTGTAGCTATGACAGACATTGAAACTTTTTATGAGGTGAGGTCACTTCAAGTGACCTGGTGACCTGACCTTGAATGACCTTGGTCTGAAATTTTCACAACATGTGTAGAATTGATGTATGATAAGGTGTACCAAAAACGGCGTTTTTGAGATATTCGCGAAAAACCACAAGGGGGGGGTGTTCAAACACCCCCCCCCCCCCCAGCAGGGCGCGGGTTAAACCACGAGAAGACTGCAAACTCGCGGCTAATGCGAGCCGACATACGCTGAATCGCGATTCCGGCCAAACATGGTCTCGAAAGAAGGTCACAGGTCAAAGATCATTAAGGTCAGGGCCATTGAATTTTCAGGTTAGCTGTGAAATTAATTATCGCGAGGGTACTGAAAGTTTCGTTGCGATTGGCCGCTTTTTACGCGAATTGCTCGCGAAAAACCGAGGGTTCCGTTCGAAGATTCAGGCCCTGTCGCGCTAGAATGGCATATCCGCCCACTGTGTACCGGCCCGGCGCGGGTTAAAGCATACACAGCGCCTCGAGTTAAGCTCTTGATTTGTAGTCAATTCGGAAGAACCACACGTGGTTCTTCGAATGTCGGCGAATCGAACGGCCCGTTTGCTGGGATTATTTTTTTCTGCAAAAACCACACTTATAACTATACCCGGGCGCAGAGCAGTAGCACTCACCTCGAGAATCTCGTCGCCGGTGCGGATTCGCCCGTCCTTGAAGGCGTTCCCCTGAGGATTGAGGCCGCAAACGAACACGGACATGCGTGTGCGGTCCTTGTTGCCGGCTAGCGAGAGGCCCAGGCCGTGGCTACCCTTCTCCAACTCGATCCATAGCACCTCACCAGGCAGCGCGCCATATTTCTTCTGCACCTTCTCTGTTGGTATACAAGGAAAAATGCACTCAGGGTGGGTGGGCCTGAAAAAAAAAACAATAAATTTCTTAGGTAAAATTGTTATTTTGTTGATAAAAACATACATAATGCATCTTGAACATACTGCCTGTGATGACGATTACTCAGTGGTAATATTGTTCGATGGGATAGCATAACGACTTGCTGCGATTAGACATAGAAAGATAGATAGATAGATATTTATTTCGTACGAGATCCGACATTTCGGCTTTTCACGTGTACACGTCTGTTTTTAAAGCTCAATAAAAAGAGTATAAAAGGCCACTCTCACGCCTTCAAAACAGAGCACCATACAACATTCACACGCCTAACCGGATTCAGCCCTAATGTTCCGATACAGCGCCGTCCTGAAAGACTCGCGAACACGTCTGTTTTGGCACACGTCGTTACACAGTTTTACTCCGCTGTACGCGAGCTGGCGCCTGCCAGTCTCCGTTGTAATGTCATGGGATCGCAGCTGGTTGTTGTGTCGTGTTTGATGTTCATGTCTGTGGTCTGTGGCAGCGATAATGGAGTACAATGTTTCTGGCAACTCCGATGACACAACTCTGCGAACCATCTGTGCCCGGTGGTATTCGCCAGCGGAGATGACGACAGCCAGTTGAGACTCTTGAGTACTTCAGAAATGTGATCAATCCTTTTCTTTCCACTGATGACTCTGGCGCCGAAATTTATGTTTTTTTTAATTCTTTGGTGTTCCGTCTTACTGCACGTGGCGTAAATTGACACACAATACCCAATGATGGCCATGACCAGCGCAGTGACTATTGGCTTCAATGATGCCCTAGGCAGAGAATGTCTCGCACGAGTCAGCGCCAGCCGCCACTAGACTGCCGCTGCACTTTGCCACCACGTGGTCGACGTGGTCTACAAAGGTCGTGTGCCTGCCCATATAATGCCCTGTTTTACCACTTTCGATTCCTGGATCGCTGTTCCACAAAAATTGACTTAAATGCTCGGCTGGTTTTTAGCATTGCCTTGGTTCCGAAGACGATCATGTGCGTTTTGCCTGCATTCTGTGGCGTTATATCATTTCACGAGTCCCTCTCTCCCCTCCTCTGCACTGCCCGCCGCCCGCCGCCCACTGTCCGCCGCCCACTGTCCGCCGCCCACTGTCCGCCGCCCACTGTCCGCCGCCCGCTGCCCACTGTCCGCCGCCCGCCGCCCATTTCCGCCGCCCGCCGCCCACTGTCCGCCGCCCGCCGCCCACTGTCCGCCGCCCGCCGCCCACTGTCCGCCGCCCGCCGCCCACTGTCCGCCGCCCGCCGCCCGCCGCCCACTGTCCGCCGCCCGCCGCCCACTGTCCGCCGCCCGCCGCCCATTTCCGCCGCCCGCCGCCCACTGCCCACTGTCCGCCGCCCGCCGCCCACTGTCCGCCGCCCGCCGCCCACTGTCCGCCGCCCGCCGCCCACTCTCCGCCGCCCGTCGCGGTGAGAAGGGGCGGCTGGGGCGCGGGCGAGCGACTCCGGGGCGCCGGTGAATACCGGCTGGGCGGCCGCCTCGGGCGCCCACAACGGAGGCGAGGTCGGGTCACCGGTCGGGGCGGCGGGTCAGTTCAAGGCTATAGAACTCCAGGTAAGGACGCCAGCCATTTGACCTTGAACGGCGCCGGCCGGCCGATGACGTCATTGGAGGCAAGCCGGCTCTGCGGACACATCGGGCGAATGCATGATAGCGGGTGAATCTGTGGTCAAATCTTCCATTTTTGGAAGCCTTTCATTTTTGGAAGGACCTTCCATAAATGGGTATGCATTTTCCAAAAATAGAAGGCTTCCAAAATTGGAAGGCCTAATCTCAGTGTTTCCAACTGTGATTCCCATCTTTTGATTTACGGCCTTTTTAAATGTGTAACATTAATAGTTGATTTTGCCATTTATGATCATTGATATAAGAAGCAGCAGTGCTAGTGTTGGTAATACAGGCATGCTATGTCAATGTACAGTAGGTCTACTAAAAAAGTCCCCCGCTCCAGAGGCGGCCGGCCGGCCGAACCCCCGGATTCCAGCCCCGACTCTATTGCGCAGGCCGCGGCAGTGACACGGGTCAGGTCGCGGCGCCCGGCGAGTGGGTCAGTTGGCGGCGGCCGGTCGTGGAGTGAGGGCGCCGTGTGTGGGGCGCAGAGATGCCGCAGTGCAGAGGAGGGGAAGATAGTGACTCTGCACGATGCCGGAAATGATGCCTTTATGATCTAAATTAAACACCTGCACTGCAGTGCATATCCTCCCTTGCGCCATTCCTATTATATCATAATCCTTCAATAATCCGTAATGACCATTCAACGCAAGCAAGCAAACAAAACAACCCGTTTAGCGGCGACATCATCTCGGATAAAAAAAGCGACAGTGATGATTAGAATTGACTTAGCGCGAGGGCAAATCGTGGGGTATATTTAGACCGGGTGGCCCAGAAAAAAACGTTCCGAACTTTGGAGGCCTATATATCAAATCCGAGTGCAAATAACGAGCCAAAATTTTCATCAAGTTTGCGTCATTTCTTTGCGCATTGGTATGCCAAATTATAACACTATACCATCATTTTCAAGCTGGCAATCTTGAGTTGAATTAAGCAAGACGTTTTTGCTTTTTTTGCCGATGTCAAACGATAGTGATGATTGGGTTAGACGTCCCATGTTATAAAAAAGAATAAAAAATAGAGCACGTGAATGAAACCAACACGCATGTTCTTATTTTGAATATTTTTGTCTCACTTATGTGCCAAATATTCAAATGCTGAGCCAAAATGGTGCTCATGGATGCCATTCGTTTCAACACCAAATCATGTTTCGAGCAGAGTGGCACGGTGCATGGATTACTGCTGATTACCCTCCTTTCAGTAGATCAAACAATAAAACGACCGGATAAGGAAAACAAACTAAAGCAGACTGGTTCCTATGCCAGAAAACCACAGAAAAGCTTATGAAAAACAACATTGCCAGCAGATGACAAAAAAGCTGGTTGAAAAGCTACCTTTTCCCAGGAATGTCAGCCAGGAAAGCATTTGAGTCACAAGACGGTTAGAAAACTGGAAACTTCTTCCGATGCCGCTGTCACAGAGCCATCGTCGTTGCCTGAGGGAATGTGTCATCCTGAGACCCGAACCATCAATGAGACTAGCTGCCAGTAGAAGTCATGGCTCTAGGCTGCGGTGCCGCGGGGTGAAAGCGACCCGTTCACTCACATTATTTAGTAAACATCGGAGCAAAAAAGTATTTTTTACATGGCATGCTTGAAACACGAACCGTTTAAAAGGTAATTTACCGAACACCATGAAAATCTCACCATTTACTCAAAATGTGTGCCGCATTGACTATTCGAAGTTTCAATGTTGTATCTTTATCACTTTCTGAGAAATATTGATTTAAAGTTGGGAACGTTTTTCTGGCCACCCGGTATGTATCATATGCCGAGTATTTTATTCCCATCTAGCAAATTAAGATTGGGGATCTTGTCCAACAACTCAGCGGCCGTTCTAGACACAGATAAATGCTTTGTTTTCGGTCGCATCATTATCTGCAATAATTCGAAGCGAGGTTTAACCCGCGCGGGGCTGGGGGGTAAATTTTACCCCCCCCTCGCGAATTTTTGTAATATCTCAAAAACGGCGGCGCGCAGCGCCGCCAAACTTTCAGTACCTTTTTTACATCAATTTGACACGTTCCCTGAAAATTTGAGCGAAATCCGTCGGAATTTTTTTGAGAAATTGACGTTTTAGTGACGTCATGTTCGCCATTTTCGCCTCAAAACCGGCAAAAGTTCAAACGCCGCTAACATCTTCATTTTTAAAGGAATCAAGACGTAACAAAAAGGATATACGTAATTCTACTTCGTCTATCAAATGGCTATCTCGGTTTTTTGAAAATTTTGGATTTTGGCCCAATTTTTTTCTTCAAAAAACTGACTTTTTGGGGAAATAACTATAAAATCCAAAATTTTGAGTGCATTGAAAAAATCGGAATATATGTCAGAGAAGTGGTCTATGTGCACCTACATACCAAGTTTTAGAAGAATCGGTTCAAAAATGTGGGAGTTATTCAAAATTGTATGACGTCACAACACAAACAATTTTTGAAAAATGACTTTTTTGGAAGTTCTAGAACTCGTACGGAAACAAAAATAGCACCATTCGATTCGCCGTGAAAAACTGCATCAGATATACACCTTTTTAGGCCTTAACAACCAACTTCAAAATTTGACCTCACTTGACCTGACCTTGACCTGACCTCAACCTGAAATTCATCCAGAGATGGTCCATATCACTTATTGAGTGTGCCTATTGAATTCTATGAGTAAAATGACCCATAAAACATGTGTCGCACATGCCCTTTTCTATATTTTGTTTTTGGTGACCTGACCTGACCTGACCTGACCTTGACCTTGACCTCTGAATGATATTGTATGCAACGAATATTGTCTTGGTAGCCTAAGAACACGTTTTGGGCGATCAGTCTCAGTCCATGACTCCATTCTTCGGCAACTACGGTGCAAGGCCGATACTGTAGGAACTTGCAATATGTACCCTTGACCTGACCTTGACCTTGACCTCAAACTTAAAATTAAGTACATGTTTTTAGTTGTTCGTGATGAGATCTTTCGATTGGCGTTTGAATTTTCCAAATCGGACCATTAGTTCGGGAGATAACAGGGGGGGGGGGGTAAAATTTACACCCCCCCCCCCCAGCCCCGCGCGTTCGGCTGGAGACCCCAGCCCCGCGCGGGTTAACCCTCGCCGGCCGAGAAGAGGGGATGGATGCTGCCACCATGTATTTTTTGCGGTAGCTCAAAGCACACTGATGATAGAAGGCTGACATTTCATATGCCTTACATTTGATTCAAGCCGGATCATTTGAAATCAACCACGTTTTCATGTCAGGTCACTTAACTATGACGTCTTAAGTAAACCTCTGCAGACTGCACGGTTGTCGGTTATAAAATGATGCAAATCCGTAACGCACTTAGTGTCATATAAGCATAATGGGAAAATATGGAAACTGTTAATTTGGCGTCGGAAATGACCTAAAAACTATACCTCAAGCACATGAAATCGTGACTTCATACATTATTGGCAAGGTTTAATGCTTCACTTTTGCATTGTTCACCTTGCGCGGAGTGCTCGTCAATAGGAGTGCTTCGTCAATAACTCCCGATCAGAATGAGCTAGCCAGTCGGGACAGCCATCAGTGGACTCTGCAAGACTTGCCGAATCAAATGTTATGCAACATGTCCTCCTTTCAACAGCTTCGTGACCTGTGTTGCCCTAACATGACATTGACCTAAACATCCTAAATTGCTTCACCTAAGCAAGAAAGCATATAAATCGACGCGTCTGAGAACAGAAAACACGATTGTATCGAAATGACGATAATGCGACCATTTTTTGGCTAAGTTATTCACCAAAAACCGATCCAATGCCTTGGGGCCCTTGACCTGCCCTAAGAGGTCACTGATATTTTAAAATGGGGTAACAGTCGCTGCGTCACGTAACGACGCAAGCGCTCGTTTTTTTTTTCCGCGAGGCTCTAGCAGTTAGCTCAATTATAGGAGCTAAACATGGGGTTGGGGAATCGCTCCCTTCTCACTCGCTATTTTGCCGGGATAGTGTTTGCAATTACTGTTAAAATCTAACATTTTAAGATTTCAAATGACCCATTTTTTCCCGCCCAAGTCAAGTCATTCAAGGTCATAGCACCAGGTCACGTTAAGTGACCTTACCTCAAGGAAAGTTCCTGTGCTCATCATATCTAAATACATCGACTGACCGATCGCTTTAGAACCTTCAGCGATTCCAATGGGCAACAGTATATGTATTTGAAACGTTTACTTTGCAAGTTTGACATTGCTGACAGAAAGGTCGGGTCAATTTTGAGATCACTGAAGTCAATGGGAGAAAGTTGAACTGCGCTTTTTTTGGACGGAACACATAATAAACACTCTGAAAACATGTGGTGCCTGATGAGATGCAAAACTGAATGATAAAATTGTTGTTGTTTTTTTTTTGGTGGGAGCCATCCTTTTCGGTCTGAGAAAGCCCTTGCGGAGCTCTATGACATAACTATGCTCTGGTGTAGTAATTGGGTTGTGCGAGCCAGCGACAGTGATCTGCGGAAGCGTGACTGTTCCCGTGGGACGATTGTCCTGTCGGGGCGGTCCAGCCGTCTCCCCAACGGTCACCCGAAGAGGATTATGTGTCCTGGAATGGAACCGACATCAACTACAGGTTGGCTGGTGGGGTGACCTCCAGTCCAGAGAGGGAAGCATGAAGACTAGGGGCGATGCGGATTGGTTTTTCCTGAGGATAGCGAGGACGGAAGGAATCTAGCACCCTTGACCCCGGGTAACTTTTAAAGGGGGGAAAAGGGGAATTTCCCCCCTTCGAAGTTGAGAAAGGCCGCGAAGATTTCGTGTCACGCTTTGAACGAAAATTATGTGTCAGTAGGCTCCAAAACTTATGAAAACCAGCTATAAAATGTAATAAAGAACCAACTAGGAACATGGAATGAATCACAGCATTGGCATTTCTGAGTCTGGAGTCGGAGTCTTGAATATTTTTGGCGACTGCGACTCTGACTCTTGTTTGAACTGCACGCTCCAGCCGAGTCTGACCTCACAGACATTCTCCGAAAGGTACCCCCAATTTTTCCCGACTCGAAAATCTCATCGGATCTGCATCGATCTCAGGGGGTGCCCGGTCCGAGGTTGGGGGGGCAAGCTGCCCCGCTTGCCCCCCCCCCCCCGTGGCGACGCTAATGATCCATACCAATGACAAAAATCAAATTTGAAGGGCTTTCAAAGCAGAGCCAGAAAATTAAACTTAAGCGACCTGCTCAACTTTTTGAGCGCTCAAGTAGGTACGTTTTATAACATTGCCCTACTGTGTCTGCAACTAAGATGGAGGCTGTTAACTTGCCCTTTAGACTTTCACTGAAACTTAACTTAATCAAAATTGTAGTGCATAAAAAGTATGCTAATGTAACAGCTGAATGCTGTGACATTTTTTTTTTCGTCAAAATCTCACCTTTTTCATACATATAAACTGCCTCACATAGTACCCTGTCTGCCGGGACGCCGGAGCCAAGGAGGAGACCGGGTCACACGCCCGAGCAGCTGCTGCCATTAAGGCGGCTGACGCCCCGAGATCAAACGTTCGCCGACGGGTGGAGTACACACAAACCATCCGGCGCCGAGCCAGTCCGAGACACTCCGGCGCCATGACATCCGTTCGCAGCAGCTGTATGGGCCAGCCGCCCCCACCATCGCTACAGCCAGGGCAGGAAGGGCATCCGGTGCAGGCTGGTGTAAAGGAAACGTCGCATCCGGCGCAGCCCAGAACCGACACCCGGCGGAAATCGAGTGTGAAAACGTCACATCCGACACCGGCAACGGGGGCCGACTCCAGCGGAAACAGCGGAGGAGGGGAGAAATCCGAAGCTTCGGCCACGCCGGACGTGCTTCCTCTCGAAGCCCCGGTCAGGGGCTGCCGCCGGAGATCAGCCAGGAAAGGACCGATTAACTGTCCCGGTCACAGAAATCGACCCCCCGCCGGAACCGGATAACCAAAGGAATAAAATCGGACCGCAGAAGAGGAGAGACACAGAACACCCGGGGAGTCTCTGCCGGCTGGACCAGTGCTCTCTTCCTCTGACTCTCTGGTGCAACACTCATCAAGAACAAGACCAATCTTCGACGCCGCCAAAATTCAAGTGAGTCGCCAGCAGAAAGCTGCCTGCCACTCCCAGCCCTCCAGCCATGCCCACCACACACGCATTCTCTCCCCCTCCCCCCCATATCTACCGGGCGTCTACCCCAGTCTAGACCTACCGTCCCGTAGGGTCAGGCCTTGCCACCATTAGCAGATGTAACAGCTGGGGGTAGGGTGATGGGGATTGTTCGACGGCGCCGCACTGCCGGGTGCGGCAATGGTCCATTTACATTTTGTGTCGGAGCCGGGACCATTTGCCAACCATTTACGCTCCTTTGTACGCGACCGCCAGGGCCGGGGGTAGGTGTGAGGACCGGATAGGAGGGGTGAAAGTTCTGACATCATTAAGTGACGTCATGCGGCACCGGTCCCCGTCCGTCGGGCCAGCGCGCCGCCAATGGTCGAAACCATTTGGTAACGTGTCACTTGATGCGCCGCGATGCTGTCACTAATTAAGTCTAGAATTAAGCATTAAGGTAGGCCGCGCCTGTTAGGGTTAGGTTTAAGTAAACAACGGGATTGACAAGTTGACAATCTCGAGTACGATTTACCAATAGCACATTGGTTAGTTTGTCATTAATTGTCCGTGTAGTGTAAAATAAAGCGTGAAAATTTAAACAACCTGTCTGGGAAAGGGGAAGGGGTAGCTATTTTGCGTTGCGAGACGAGTATCAAGGAGGTCACTGACGCCAGAAACAACCACTTACGATTAGTGGTCAGATGGTCAAAACATGACGCCGCGCACCACGCACAGAGCGACCAGGGTTGAACACTATGTACACGCAGCGGAGCGGTCGGTCGGGCCAGGGGGTCAACTGTCACCACGACGGAGCTATGAGCGCCTGGCTTGGCTTATAACCCAGATTTGAGTCAGCAACACTTCATTGTGCGGTCCATTGGGTATACCGAAAGCAGATAAGATTAATGTCGTCCAGAATTTTCACGAAATGAACTGTCATTTGGTACTAATTCCAGTCACTAGCATACAATATTTTATGTTTATGCGAAGTTCCAAAATGTTCTTTTTTTCACCTGTAAGTGAATACCCGCCTCACCAACCGTCAGCCCACCAATTCATGCCTTGTTTCGCCTAATTACCATCAGCGTTCAGAAAGCCGTGACGAACACACGCACCCTAGACTTGAATCGACATTTAACGAAAAATCGCCGCCAATAGTGACTCGAGCGCCTAATATAATGCCGTCTATTAATGAAAGTCTCAAGGAGTCAATAAAACCAACTTTTAACGGAAGGTGAAATCAGAAATGCGCCTCATTACATATCGTCAAGACTTGTCCTGTGAATTCAGCGCTTGGTCCCCGGGCAAGGATACCTTCAAGCGATCGGTTACATTTATCCTTGCATTGAGAACCCAAACCAGTCATAGCTTACTATTACGCATTTTTGTCATACCCATGATAGACGCCTTACGTTGCTTCGAGGAACGCAAAGTGGTCACATTTACATCGAACCGTTCAATACGTATTACAAACCGTTCAATACGTGTTAATGCAGGATTTCTCTAACAAGAAGAGGTTACAGGACAAGTGATAGGGTTTCCCACTCCGTAGTAATCAGCATTCTAAATCATGTTTGTCTTATCAAGTTTAAGTATCGCCTTCCCAGGCCCCTGAACGCGCGGCACGACCTTAAAATTATTCAACCACGACAAAGGGGTTCGTGCAACGAACTCAGTAACGTTCATAATTAGACCTCAGTGCGATGCGGTTAGCTCGGGTTTTCACCAGCACGAAAGGGAAGGGCCACTTGGGCATGCACAAGCGTCAATTCCATATGCGGAGTGATCCCTGGTCAGAACGACACGCTGCCAGCGCCACCTACATCTCTAACGTCGGCCCTGTGCGTTCCGTTGCCAGTGCCACCACGCAGACAAGCTAAGCACTCGCTCGCCACCTAGCGTCCGGTATACCAAGCTTTAGTTTCCAGCCCTGCCGTGAGAGATCGCAGTGGTGATCCCATCCATGATTGTGCGTATAAGCTTATCAGTGAGTCAGAAAAATCGTGATAACGACGCAAAGCTCTGCCTTATTCCGGTATCTTAATACATTAACAACTTTGAATTAACCTGAATTAACCAAAATTAACCCTTGCAAGCATAATAATATCTCAAGGTTCTAGCAGCTGGGTGAATTACACTATCTCTTGAGAGCCAGATTGATCTGATCTTATTCTTAACGACGCAGATCGATCAAAGAACTCGTTGAATCTCACGCCATGGATGCAGCTGATACCACCGCCGACCGGAGAAGCGTGGCGATTTACACAGCTCTCAGTTGTGCCCCCGACGCGATCAATCCGGCACGCCGTTTGATCATCCTGACTGGGAAGAAATGATAATTCGAGTCAGGTTAAGTGCGCCTGGTCTACCTTCGGTGTCATTTGCTCGTTGTATCAGTCCAGTTCGAGTGAATTTTTAAGTGTTTGATGGTTTCAATTGGCTGTAGGTTCAACTTCTGTGTACCAAAATTTAGATAAATTTGTGAGGCCACCAACCATAGGTGATAGCCTTAGGTGAAATTTCTTTTAAACATCATTTCATGTAAGCTCATGATAATTGAACCCTTTTTTTTTTTGCAATCTCTTCACTGATTGATGGCAATTATGTGAATGGTTGATCCCCGCACAAAGATAAATTTTGACACAATGAACAGGACGTAGGCGTGATCCCACTCAAATTTGGGCAACCAATCGCGTTTGGGTTTGAAAATCGCACCTGAACAAGATTAGTCAGACATGCTCCATCACATCGCATCAAGGACTTAACAGCCAGAGACAAACTAACGAAATGTGAATCCCAGCCCTTCTTCAAGCCTGAGATCAACATCTCCATAGAAGGTATTTTGATTACACCCCTTGCACAAACGTTTGTTAAATCATTCAGATATGTAAATTAGAAGGATTACATGATAGCTCTGTTAACATACACCAAGGTGAGTTAATTCATTTTCTTTGCCACAAGCACTCCCCACAGCTGGCCTGGTAAACATCAAGGATCGCCGTCCTGTTGCTATTGACACAGTTGATGACTGATGAGCAGGAACAACCATATGACCTTGCCGCGCCGAACCTCAGATAACCTCCACCCCGATCTCATGTGCAACATGGAAAGCTACTGAATATCACCACTGTGGTTATAGTTTGGAGGAGTATTTTGAAATTACGGAGGCCCGACTATTACGAACCGGCATTAGGTTATAACAGGCGAACAACGCCCAAATTCAGTCACAGTTTTTCTTCCATTTACATTGGTGTCAGCCAAGAAATAAACTTAACAGTTAAATTCTCATCATGACCAGAAAGGTTAATAGGAACAGCTCCTTGTGCCATCTAATTCAGACAATTGCTAAAATTTGACCAATCATTAGCTAATACAATAACTCCCCAGCCATTAATGGGCGGCACAGACCAAGATAACACTGCTAAAGCCATTTCATGTGAGCTCATAGTAATTCCTTTTGTCTATCACTTAGTCTGGTTGATGGGAATTACTGAACGGGTTGGCCCCATACAAAAAAAAATTAAGTACAAGGAATAGTCTGTGGACTTGATCCCATGCAATATAGGGCTAATCTTACTCGAAATTGACCATGCTCGTTAACAAGATTGGCCAGTGATACGCCCCATTACCTAGCATCAGGGACAGCAACATGACAAATTACCGAACGTCATCACTGCATTGACTGTGGTTGCTGATTTTGATGAATACCTACCTAGTTGGAATTTGAAGGTGGCAGACTATTACTAAATTGTAACAGGTATATCAGGAAGGCATCAAAATTTGGCTTATCCAAATTTCCTTTAAAATACCAGCCAAGAAATAAGGCTACCAACTTAATCTTGATTTAGAATGGTCCACCCTCCGCCCTGCAGGGACCTGAGCAACTCACCCGCATTTCGGAATCTCTGTATTGTTTAAATTATTTGATGTTTTAATTATTTGATCATGGCAAAAGTAACCACTCATTATATCAAGTAATATATACTGAATAACTTATATTTTTTTTGGACTGTTTGCAATTATATCCGGCCTGAACTAAATTCTGCCCAACAGATAGTACCTACAAGAACCCATTCATATTGTGCAGTGAATTCAAACTCGAGCCTCACACGTGGGTCTAGCAGGGCAAACAAGTGAATTATATGACATGTCGCATGAAATTCTACAAAAAAAGGCAGTCAATATATCATTTGAAATTGAGCCGAGTCCGGAGAACCAAACTGAGGCAAACTGTGCGCACGCGCACACCTCACTTACCAGTCCGCCACAAATACTTACGAACCAAGAGGAACTACGGTAAAGATCTAGGTCCAATATCAAAATTTATCGATAACCTCACCCAATTTACAGTGAAACTAATAAATTTCCACAATTATCACTGAATCTACGCCGCGGCAAAAACCCGACATTTGAAAACCACCGCAGGGGGGCGACACGGCTATTCGCGCAATGTATTCATTTATGGGCCGCGCGGGGCCTCGCGATGACGCGGCTGGAGGCAACTGCTCAGCGCGCTAGGATACTTCTGGCGGGGCCGGGCGCTGAACGGTGTGCAATGAATGGGTTATGGTCGGGCAGACAGAGATGAGGCATTGAATTTGAATTGACATCAGCAATCGGGTGGGGAAGGAGAACGTTTCTAATCGAGCTTGGGATGGGGAAAGCCGAAAATATCACGATCGGCTCATAGCTCCGACAGGGCCGGGTGCCGTACCATGTGTAGTATATTTAGGCGGGCAGACAGAGATGAGTTACTGGATTTAAATTCATCTTACCATCGGTTTCTGGTGGGGTTTGAAGAAGTTCTTAGTCAAGCTCGGAGTGGGGCAACCCACTGGCGGATCCAGGGGAATTTTAGGGCAAATGTCTTCCCCCACAACCAGGGCAGCGCCCGAAATCGCTTTTCGAGAATAAAAGAAAACTTCACAACTTTTTTGAGGATATGTTGGTTAATCACACAGCACAGCAGTGCGCAAGGAATCGAAATCCAAGTTTTTTAAATTAATTCCGAGAAACCTTTTTGGGGTAAGCCCCCGCAGTGTCCAAGACCGCTTCCTGAATCCGCCAGTTGTGAATAAGTCACGGTCGATACCGAGCTTCGGCGGGACCAGGCGCTGTATACGGTGTTCTTTCACTGAAAAGGTGGACAGACACCTAGCCCCACATCCTACTGCTATGCCCATGCTTCTGTGGGTGAAGCACTAAAGCATCACGGAATCCCACAGGGCCTGCGAGTCGACGAGGTGGACGCTTTGGCCGCCGGGTACTGCAGCTCCCTGGAGTTGCCTGGGACCGATGGTAAAACAACAGCCCCGGCGGTGCCCCTATGGGCCCTAGTAATTAGTGAATTCCCGTAATGTAGAGATCATATCCTCAATGATCTCCATTACCATTTTATATTCCTATAAACAGTATGACAGACCAATTATGATTGCCTACGTTCAGGCATTACCTCTGATGGTCATACGCACAGTACAACATGTGTTGTCTGTCAAACAACAATCGACGACGGGATCCCTTCTCATCTTCTCTCAAGCCATCGGTTATTAATTCACCCACCCTGTTTCCCTAAAAATAGATGGTCAGATTCGGCCTGGGTCCTTACGACCCCTCTAGATTCGCCAGAGACGGGATCGGATCGCCGTTATTGCACCCGTCTTAGTGTCTTTAATACTATGACAGCTTCGACCACGGACGTCGGACGGGGTGATCGTTCCACGAATGTACGCACCATCCAGGCCTAGGATGCATCGAGGTATAAAAGAATGGAGTCTGTAGACCAATCAACATAACAATGGTGGTATGCAACCACATTAAAATACCTCCCCGGTTCCCGCAACGTTCCAACGCCCCTCCGTTATGCATTCGCCTTGTGTGTCCGCCGAGCCGGCTTGCCTCCAATGACGTCATCGGCCGGCCGGCGGCGTTCAAGGTCAAACGGCTGGTGTCCTTACCTGGAGTTCTATAGCCTTGAACCACCGTGGGTTCAAGGTCAGGGAATTGCGAGAGCAAGATATGCCAGCCGAGCGCGATTTGGTAGCCGAGGTCTGCGGTGTTGGCCGGGCGTAAAGTTTTTCCTTCACCACACAGTTGTTGCGCAAACTGCCAAAGTTCCTGCCAGGATATCATAATCCGGGAGTGAAAGAGGGATAAAGTTTCGGCCCCAGTAGGTTCAATGATTCGTTTACATAAGCCCATCTGCTTATCAGGCCATAAGGTAGGTAAAGAATCTGAGTCGCAAAAGGACTGGCCAAAACACAGACCCCGAAATATCACGTTCTTTTGTTTATTTGTTAAGTAAAGTTATACAAAATTTTGAAATGCGGTTACACGATTACGGTTCAAAGGGTATTACACATTTTTTTGTTTTGTTAAAGTCACAACATTGCAAATACAAGGATTTACCAAGGCGATCACGTGACCGAAGATATAATGGGGGTTGGAACAAACGCTTGAAGGGTTTAGATCTTTGTCTATATGGGTTCCTTGATTAAATTGAGGAAATCGCGAATCGTTCCCTGATGTACAAATTTTTGTGTGTAGAATATTTTTTTCTCCCTCCAGCAAAAAAATTATATGGTTTAGCCTGGGCCCTATTTCGCTGCCGGCGCAGTACTCCGTCTTGGAACTTCGTCCAGGGCTCCCCCAAATTAATCGGACCTATCTGTGGGAGTTATCTTGACGCCATTCTCCAAGGGCCACGATTTAAAGACGTCACGAGTCAACTCCCTTGCCAAGCTCAACACTGAGCAATCATAAGAAATAAATGACGTCACTGGTGGAAGTCCATGATGCTTACCAAATTATGGGCGTACTGACGGGTGTAACAATTGTCGTGGAAATTAAAGTTACGTGACTGTTCCTCGTTATTCGACACGTACAAGTCACAACTGCAATTAAGATGAATCTCGACAAGATGACTAATGGACATTGACATACACCTTCATGAACTAGACAGGTAAGGGGAATGCCCAACCGATTTCCGTGGGATACTTAGATATCTCTAACAATGAAGACCAGGGACATGCAAGGAAGTAAAGGTTGATGCTAGCCGAAGAGGAGGTATGTTGCAGCACTTCTATGTGCTTCTAACTCTCTGATACGTCGAAACCTGCTTGGACTGGGATGGTCCCTCGTTGAAAAGAAATAAGTAAAAGATAGTGGAGCAAATAGGACGCCATAAGACGCCCAAACAAAGAGGTGAGTTCAGAAGGTAGAGAGCCAGACAGTGCGAGGGAGCGTACCACTGAAGGTGAGTGACAAATACGAAGATGATAGGGAATAAGGCGAAGGAAGCAATACCGCCGGAATGAGGTAAGTCC